CTTCAGTTGTCATATATCATTGTTTTTGGAAAATTCTAATAGATGTTATCTTCTGCTTCAGTTGAACTTGATATGAAATTACTGTTTGGGCCTTAATTGTTGAACTTGAAAGTATGCCTACCTTCTTATGTTGTAAATTACTATAACTGGACTTAGGTGTGAAGCTCGTCACTACTTTCAATTCTTTATTTAGTATTGTTACTTACTGAGTTGGTTGTACTCATACTACACCCTGCACTACTTGTGTAGATCCATGTACTTCCTGACACAGCGGTTGTTAGTTTTTCGGAGCTTTATCTGTTGGAGATTATCGAGGTGGCTGCTTGACGTCCGCAGACCTTGACTCTCTTTCCATTTAGTTTTTGTACTGTTCTATATTTTTCAGACAGTGTTTTTATCATTCAGACTTTGTTATCATTTAAATGCTGATTTAATAAGTGACACCAGGTTTTGGAAGTGTTTTATATAAGTATATTGGTGAGATTTTTTGTATTGAATTTAAATATTATATTTTCAAACTTAGAAGAAATTATGGTTTATTGAGGTTGTCGGCTTGCCTAGTATTGAGATAGGTCCTATCATGACAAGCGTGATTTTGGATCATGATTTCTGAGAACCCGAGAGACTGGAGAGATTTATGACTAAGTGAGGTCGGGGGCCTGATTATGAGATATTGATACTATAGCAAGTAAGTTGTCCGTGCAGCACGTGAGTTGTCCGTGCGGATCCAGATATTATACTAGCACGTGATTTGTCCGTGCAACACATGATTTGTCCATGTGGATTCAGATATTATACTAGCACGTGAGTTGTCCGTGCAACACGTGAATTGTTCATGCGGTTTATAGTGCTTACGCTAAAGGCGTCTCTCTAGAGTCTGTACACACCCCAGGGAACGCAGGTACCTACTGAGTGGGAGTGTCGAGTGCTGAGTGAATGGGAAGACTGAGTGACTGTTGCTCTGAGAGGATGCATTTATTTTATTGTTGTTGCCCTTCAACTGTCATATATCACTATTTTGGAAAATTCTGATAGATATTATCTTCTGTTTCAGTTGAACTTAATATGAAATTATTGTTTGGGCCTTAATTGTTGAACTTGAAAGTATGCCTACCTTCTTATATTGTAAATTACTCTAACTAAACTTAGTTGTGAAGCTCGTCATTACTTCAAGTTCTTTATTTAGTATTGTTACTTACTGAGTTGGTTGTACTCATACTACACCCTACACCACGTGTGCTGATCCATGTACTTTCGGACATGGCGGTGGTTAGTTTTTCGGAGCTTTATCTGTTGGAGATTATCGAGGTGGCTGCTTGACGTCCGCAGACCTTGACTCTCTTTCCATTCAGTTTTTGTACTGTTCTATATTTTTAGTCAGTATTTTTATCAGTTAGACTTTGTTATCATTTAGATACTCATGTACTCACTGACACCGAATTTTGAGAGTATTTTATGTCGGTATTAATGAGATTTTTTGTACTAAATTTAAATATTACGTTTTCAAAATAAAAAGCAATTGTGATTTATTGAGGTTGTCGGCTTGCCTAGTATTGAGATAGTCGCCATCACGACAGGCATGATTTTGGGTCGTGATTTTTGAGAGCCCGAGAGACTGGAGAGATTTATGACTGAGTGAGAACGAGGGCCTGATTGTGAGATATTGATACTATAGAACGTGAGTTGTCCGCGCGGATCTAGATATTATACTAGCACGTGAGTTGTCCATGCAACACGTAAGTTGTACGTGCGGTTTATAGTGCTTGGGCTGAAGGAGCCCTCCAGAGTCTGTACACTCCCCCAGTGAGCGCAGGTACCAACTAAGTGCGAGTGTCGAGTGTTGAATGAATGGGAGGACTGAGTGACTGTTGCTCTGAGAGGATGTATTTATTTCATTGTTGTTGCACTTCAGCTGTCATATATCACTTTTTTGGAAAATTCTCATATATTTTATCTTCTGTTTCAGTTGAACTTGATATGAAATTACTGTTTGTGCCTTAATTGTTGAACTTGAAAGCATGCCTACCTTCTTATGTTGTAAATTACTGTAACTGGACTTAGCTGTGAAGCTCGTCACTACTTTCAATTTGTTATTTAGTATTGTTACTTACTGAGTTGGTTGTACTCATACTACACCCTGCACAACGTGTGCAGATCCAGGTACTTTCGGACACGGCGATTGTTAGTTTTTCGGAGCTTTATCTGTTGGAGATTATTGAGGTGATTGATTGACGTTCGTAGACTTTGATTCTTTTTCCATTCAGTTTTTGTATTGTTTTATATTTTCAAATAGTATTTTTATCAGTCAGACTTTGTTATCATTTAGATGCTCATGTACTCAGTGACATCGGGTTTTGGGAGTGTTTTATATTGGTATTGGTGAGATTTTTTTATATTGAATTTAAATATTATATTTTTAAACTTAAAAGAAATTGTTATTTATTGAGGTTGTCAGCTTGCCTAGTATTGAGATAGGCGCCATCACGATAGGCGTGATTTTGGGTTGTGATTAGTGAGATCCCGAGAGAGTGGAGAGATTTATGACTGAGTGAGGCCGAGGGCCTAATTGTGAGATATTGATACTATAGCACGTGAGTTGTTCGTGCAGCACGTGAGTTATCCGTGCGAATCCAGATATTATACTAGCACGTGAGTTTTTCGTGCGGATCCAGATATTATGCTAGCACGTGAGTTGTCCGTGAAACACGTGAGTTATACGTGCGGTTTATAGCGCTTGGGCTGAAGGAGTCCCTCCAGAGTCTGTACACACCCCCAGTGAGCGCAGGTACCAACTGAGTGCGAGTGCCGAGTGTTGAGTGAATGGGAGGACTGAGTGAATGTTGCTTTGAGAGGATGCATTTATTTCATTATTGTTGTACTTCAGTTGTCGTATATCACTGTTTTTGGAAAAATATGATAGAAATTATCTTCTGTTTCAGTTGAACTTGTTATGAAATTACTGTTTGGGCCTTAATCTTTCAACTTGAAAGCATGCCTACCTTCTTATGTTGTAAATTACTATAACTGGACTTAGCTGTGAAGCTCGTCACTACTTTCAGTTCTTTATTTAGTATTATTACTTACTAAGTTGGTTGTTCTCATACTACACCCTGCACCACGTGTGCAGATTCAGGTACTTTCGGACACGGCGGTTGTTATTTTTTCGGAGCTTTATCTGTTGGAGATTATCGAGGTGGCTGCTTAAACGTCCACAAACCTTGACTCTCTTTCCATTCAGTTTTTGTATTGTTCTATATTTTCATACAGTATTTTTATCAGTCAGACTTTGTTATCATTTAGATGCTCATGTACTCAGTGACACCGGGTTTTGGGAGTGTTTTATATAGGTATATTAGTGAGAGTTTTGGTATTGAATTTAAATATTATATTTTTAAAGTTAAAAGAAATTGTGATTTATTAAGACTGTCGACTTGTCTAGTATTAAGATAGGCACCATCACAACAGGCGTGATTTTGAATCGTGACAGAATCATTTTTAAAGTTTGAACTTGAATGGCCAGTGTGGTTTTCTTTTTCAAAAGTCAATTGACAATTGGTCACATAAAATTATGTATAAAAAGTTTTTCTGTCATAATGACATTTCAAAAATTACAGAGAAAATTAATGGTGGCTATTCCAAATCATGAACTTATTATTTCAAGTCAATTTTTTTATGCTCTTCAACGCCACGGCTTGACTGGATTTATATGTTTCTGCCAACGGAAGGATGGCGAGGGCGCAATATCACTATGTATCTCAGTGTTAGTGGGCTGCTACTTTTTTAAGGTGGAGGAGAAATTTGCATACAAATAATGAAAATATATTTTAGCATATATATATATATATATATATATATATATATATATATATATATATATATATATATATATATATATATATATATGTGTGTGTGTGTGTGTGTGTGTGTTATACAATGAGATATACAAAGAAGATAAATAAATCTTTGATATACATTGTAATATAAAAAGAATAAAAATAAAATTTTGATATATAGTTTGATATACACAAAGAAGGAAAATAAAGTTTTGATATATATTTTGATATACACATTATTTTTTATGTATTATGCATTGTGATATACAACAATAACAACAATAACAACAACAACAACAACAACAATAATAACAACAACGACCCACTAAAATTTCACAAGTGGGGTCTGGGCGGGTTACTGTGTACGCAGACCTTACCCCTATCCCGGTGAGGCAGAGAAGTTTTTTCCGATAAACCCTCAGCTCAAGAAAACGGAAAGAAAACAAGAAGAGACAATATATCACTACCGTCAACAGAAATCATAAAAATATGAACAACATCATAAAAAGCAGAAAATAGATGATTGCATTGTGATATACAAATAATATAATTATTTTTGTGTTATGCTCTTAGATATATTCAAAGAAGGAAAATAAAATTTTGATATATATATTTTGATATGTACAAAAAAGAAAAATAAAATTATGATATACATATTAATATACACATTATTGTTGTGATATACATTATTAACTATTTGGTGTCAATATTTATAACTAAGGCTTTTTTCTCTAATTATGTGGGTGCGTTGTCACACCGTATCAAAACCCCTAGAAATTATCCCACCAAATAATGTTGGACTCGAATCTAATATCTGCTCGTATATTACCCAACCTTACTGACATAATATTAGACTGACACCTAACGTTACAATAACTTACAAATTGCTCAAAGGGAATCTTTAGACTGTAATCTAAATTAAGGTCCATAAATTACAAGTGAAATAGAAAGAGAACCACTTACTAAACAATTATGTAATGAAGCACACCTACTAAAAGTAAAACATAACCAAAGGTCCCTATATTAGTGATAGTGGCAAAACTAATTTAAAAGAATAATAAAAAATTTAGCTTGCAAACATCTTGTAACCTTATAAAATGAGAAGAATCTCTTATAAATTGGCATTGAGAAAGCAAGAGTATTTTCTTTTTGAAACAAAGACTGTAATTGCCACTAAGATTTACTGAGAAATTTAGTAATAAGCATAACATTTACTTAAAAAATTAATCTGATGCATGACTTGATCAATTTTGTCAAATACATATATCTTTTCTCAATCTGATACTAAGTCTAATGCATTACAAGTTGAAAGAAATTCTTCAATATTTTTATCAGAACTTCCTCCTTCATCTACTGCTTCCTTAGCCAAAGTTTTCCATTTAATTGCATTCTCTTTTAGCATTACTCCTTTCTCTTCTTCCATCACTTCCTTAATAGAACTAGCTACTTCTTCTCTTGTAATTACACCATCTTTTCCAGCTTTAACTCGAATTCCCGTTCGCCATACATCACTAATAAATTTTGCATTAGTTGGTTGATCTGTCCACTGAGGCATACACACCATTGGGACTCCCAAACTCAACGCTTCGAGCGTCGAATTCCATCCACAATGAGTAAAGAAACATCCAACTGATTTATGAGCTAAAACATCAAGTTGAGGACTCCAATTCACAATTAGTCCTTTTTCTGATGCTTTGGACTTGAATTCATTTGGAAGTTTGTTTTCTTCAGTATCTCTAACAGCCCACAAGAAGTAGGAGTTGCTCATTATTAATCCCAATGCTAATTCCTCCATTTGTTTTTCTCCTAGACTGGCCAAACTTCCAAATGATACATAAACAACTGAGCCAATTTCTTTCAAATCTAGCCATTTCATACAAGTTTCACCATTGGGTTTGATAAGACTTGAGCCATATTCTTTGTCATCTTTTAGTCTCTTGTCAAGATACATTGATGGAATAGTTGGTCCAATTGTTTTGATTGGATATTGAGTCCTCATCCAATCGACCACCTATATAGTTTCAGCAAAAGAAACATCAGATTATTGGTATAAGCAGTGGCAGAAGAAGCAGGATATTCGCTAAAGGAATTAAAAAAATAAAAAAATGAACACGCGAAAAAGCTAAGGAAATTCAACATTTAATATATATGCATGAAAAAAAATTAATCTTATATAGATATTATAATTTTCGGAGTATTTAAGTGGAGTATTTGTTTTTTCCATTTACATGACACTCTTTACTCTTTAGTATGTTAAGAAACATTTCTATGTTAGAATATTCTTTAATTTTAAACTTTTCATTACAATCTCTTATGTCTATAAAAATGCCATTTAAAGCTCACATACTAAAGTATTTTTGGTATGTGCCAAAAAATTTCTTTCTTTCTTAAATCCGCGCTTAATCAAACACCCACATATAAAATGTGGCAAGAGGAGTATATTATTGTAGCATTTGGGGTGGTCACTTTGTGTGCTACAGATGAATTATACTTATGTCTCATTTTATAAGGCATACTTTAACTTTTATTCTGTTCCAAAAAATAAATTTACATATCTATTTAAAAATAATTTAACATTAAATTTTTTATTTTACTCTAAATGAAATTATTTATAGTCACACTTGTTTATATGACTTGTTTCAAACTGCAAGATTCAATATTTTTCTTTTTACTAAAAATTTGTGTCCAATCAAACACTGTCACAAAATTTGGGACGAGATGGGTGAGAGAGCATACCTCCTCTAACACATCAAATGTGTTGAAAAAAAGCCAATCTGCTTTCTTGAAATTAATATTCTGGCTGAAGACAAGTCTTACAAGAGCAGGATATGATTCACTCTGATAAACAAAAGAAGGCAAATCTTCCTTTTCTAACAATGGAAGTGAAGGCAAAGAAACAGCAGAACCATCCAAAGTAATTTTACTTATTTCTGGATCCAAATGATAATATATAGCACTAAGAGAACAAGATTGTGTAAAAAAAGCAGCCCCTTTAATTCCTAACTCATGTGCTAAGTCAATTGCCCAAGTAGCAACTGAATCAAACACAAGAACTTTCACAGGATATTCAGAATCAGATAATTTCTTAACAATTTCTCTCAAATTGTTAGATATTAAAGTAAAGAACCATTCAAGAAAAATATCAATACTATTTGGTGGTGACTCATCATGTGGAATTGACTCAATTTTGATTGAATTTGAGTCCTTCGGAATGGATTTGCTAATAGAATCTATAGTGATTAAGGTAACTTTAACCCCTCTTGATACTAAACGTTTGGAAAATTGAACCATTGGATTTATGTGCCCTTGTACAGGAAAAGGGAGAACTAGAACATGAGATTTGCTGGTTATTTCTTCCATTTTTAGAGTATACTCTTAGCTGCTCAGTTCAGCTTTAGAATTTTATATATCAAGAGTAGTTTTGGGAAAGAAGAGCTAACCTTTCTGAAAAGTTGGGACGACACATCTCCTTTCCTTTGAATTTAGGCCAAATACATAGGTGGCCCCTTAATTTTGGTAGTAAATTCCACTTAGATCCTTTAACTTAGTCTTATACCTATTGAACACTTGAAGTAATACAATGCTGATGTGGCAAGTTACGTGTTTTCACCTGAAAATAGGCGCGTATACATACTCTTTCTTTCTCACTCTTGCCTCTTTTTTTTCTCCAAACTCTTTTCTTACTTTTTAACTCAAAAAATTACTGCAAAATCCATTTTTGAGTTTGAACCATTACCAGCAGAGATATTTTATTAGAAGTTGAGACAAAAACCAATTTTCAAAAGTATACAAATTTAAAGAGGGATCTAAAGCAGGTTATCAAAATAGCAAAACGCTAAGTTCAATGACGTTATATTTGTCGAGTCATTCTTCTTCAACTCATAAGAAAAAACGCTAAGTTCAAAGAGAAATAGACCCGTCATGAAAAATGGTGGAACAACTAATTTGTCGGAGACAGCAAGCTTATGCAACCAACAAACATAGATTTGTCAAAACCCAGTGGGAAGCTCATTTGCCGGAGGATATAAAAATGGCATAAACAAGAATCTTCCTACAAAATATTCAATACCCACATACTGTTTCACCAAATTATTTTGCAAATAAAAAATTTCAAACTTTTCTTCTTCATAAAGACTTCGAATACTAAAGAAGCTAGCATAAACAATTCACTTTATTCTTTATTTTTTTCATTTTATATACTCTCTTATTATTGCATCTAAAAGCAGAAAATGCACGTAAACAAACGAAGAAGACAGTTTCACTTTCCCCACTTTTCATTTTCTTAACATAACCTAATTGTCAGTGGTGTTGGGTGATTAAATAAAATGATCAAGAAATACGTACCAAACTTTTTTGGTGTGGAGTAAATTTAAAAAGAAAGGGAGAGGAAGAAGAGAGATAAGGTATTTACACATAAAATTTAGAAGGAAAAAGAAAAATAAAACGAAAGAGTAAAGAAAAATAAGAAGGATAAACGAACAAAGAAAAAAGTGTTATAAAATAAAAGCAATTTAGTAAAACATGAATAAGAAATGTTGTTATGAAATAAAAGCAATTTAGTAAAATATGAACAAGAAATGGAGATAGAGAGAAGGAAGAGATTTTCTTCTTCAATTGTGTGTATTTTCTTATCTATTACAAGGCCTTTATATAGGCATGAAAAGTGAAGAAAAATATGTCATTGAATATGTCATTAAGCATAGAAATATGTCATTGAATATTTGAGAAGATCATGGAGGAAGAGTAGACATCCACCATAATTTGATTTTTCTTATAACACTCCCCCTTGGATGTCCATAGATAATGTGCCTCGTTAAAACCTTATTAGGAAAAATACCCTATGGGAAAAAAATTCTAGTGAAGGAAAAAGAGTACACATGTTTAGAAATACACCTTTTGGTTGCCTCGTTAAAAACCTTACAAGAAAAACCCAGTGGGACAAAACCTTGTAAGGAAAAAAGAGTACAACGCGTATTAACTCCCCCTGATGAGAGCATCAATTCACATCTTTGAGCCTTCGCATCCCAATCTTGTATACCGGTTTCTTGAAGGTTGACGTCGGTAGAGATTCGGTGAACAGATCAGCCATATTATCACTTGAACAGATCTGTTGCACATTGATATCACCATTCTTTTGAAGATCATGTGTGAAAAATAACTTTGGTGAAATTTGCTTTGTCCTATCCCCTTTATGAATCCTCCCTTTAATTGGACTATGCATGCTGCATTGTCTTCATACAAAATTGTGGGTAGTTTGTCACACTTCAAACCATATTTGTCTCGAATAAGGTGTATTATATACCTCAACCATACACATTCTCGACTTGCTTCATGAATAGCAATTATCTCAACATGATTAGATGAAGTAGCCACGATTGATTGATTAGTCGATCGCCAAGATATGGAAGTGCCTCCATATGTAAACACATAGCCTGTTTGAGATCGAGCCTTGTGTGGGTCATATAAATACCCAGCATCGGCATAACCATCAAGATCGGGACTGCAATCATTGCCATAAAATAATCTCATATCGGTAGTCCCTTTTAGATACCGCAATATGTGTTTGATTCCATTCCAATATCTCCTTGTAGGAGCAGAGCTATATCTTATTAAGACATTACCTGAAAAAGTTATGTCAGACCTTGTAATGTTAGAAAGATACATTAGTGCACCAATTGCACTAAGATATGATACTTCGGGACCAAGAAACTCTTCATTATTTTCATGAGGTCGGAGTGGATATGCTTTATCCATATAGAATCGCTTTAAAATCATTTTAGTGTATGCTGATTGATGGATAAAAATTCTATTTTTCATATACTCAATTTGTAGACCAACACAAAATTTTATTTTTCCAAGATCTTTCATTTTAATTTTTTTTTTTAAATAGTCTACTTCTTTAGGAAGCTCTACTGCTTTAGGAAGCTCCCTAGGAGTTCTAATGATATTTAAATCATTAACATAAACAGTGATTATAATAAATTTAGATTCAGATCTTTTTATAAAGCCACAAGGTCAAATTGAATCATTCTTGTACCCTTCTTTCAACAGGTACTCACTCACGCGATTATACCACATGCGCCCTGATTGTTTTAATCCGTATAAGAATTTTTGAAGCTTTATTTAATACATTTATTGGAAACCTTAATATGCTTCAGAACAATTTAAATCCTTCAATGATTTTCATTATACGCATATTACGTTTTTCTTGTATTGCCAGATTAAAACCTGAAATGGCGACATCCACCACAGGAGAATATGTCTCTATATAATCAATGCCAGGATATTTACAAATATTCTTGTGACACAAGTCGTCTTTATGTCTATCGACTTGACCTTTTTTTTTTGTTTTTGCACAAGAACACATTTATACCTCCACTGACTTTATACTTTCAAATGTTGGGACAATCCATCCAACTTCATATTTTTCAGGTGAAATCAATTTTCATTGCGTATTTTTTATTTGGCCAATCATTTATCTGTCCAAATTTCATGATAGATTTGAGCTCAAAATCCTCGTCAATATTAATAATATTGAGCGCTACATTATATTAACAATATCGTCGACGATCATTTTTTTTTATCGGTTCTACTATCGTCGACGAGATCCCTTTATCTTATTATTTTCAGGTACCCGAGCCTCTCCCATAAGGTCTTATGAAGTGTTATATCGTGGTACTCTTCTAGAACACTTGCCTCCTTATTATGACCATCTTGAATATTTGCTCATCTCCTTCTTCGAGGAGTTTTATCTTTGGAACCGATTAGTCTATTATGCTTCATGCATGCCATAGACTCTATTTATTATAAACTTTATTTTATTTGGAGCATTAGCAGCTGAATATACGCCTGGCAATATTTTGCAAATGAATTATCACTTGAACTTCAAGTTCACATTTTCTCGTACGAGGATCTAGATGTACTCATAATAATTCATTACATGCATTACTTTTTCAGCTGCCCATTTTCTTCCCTTATTGTTGGGATCACCAACCCATATCCCTAGCCTTATTTGGGGATCCATCTTTATGCATTGTGGTAGAACAATTAAATCATATAGCACATTCATATTTCTAGATGGAAATTATTTGGTTCTTGACCCCGAACCGATTGTGATAGGGAGAACTTATCATAACTTGGCTAGATGCGTATAAGTGATGTTGTATATTAAATAATATATCACATACAAAATTTTATTTTGGCAGTTTTATTCTCATAACCAATGGTTTAGATATAATTGGAGGCATACATTTTTTAATAAACCAACTTGGATTTAAACCAGTATTATCAAGATAAATCATCATAATTTATATTCTGGAACTGTGCTCTAATAATTTGAGCAATCAATCTTGCAAAAGCCAAACTGCAAGTTGATAACAAATGCACATGTGACCATAAAATAGATGCATCTATGAAAATTATATAATAGTAAACGGTCCACATGGAAGGTGACTGGGCCCATATATTTATCACCTTTTATTCATTCCAGAAATCAAGGGATTCAATCCCAACTTTAACTGGTATATCATGAGAATAAGCAGCACAAAAAAATTCTTGAAGAATCTTATATTTCTTCAATATATGCCAATATAATTCTCAATTAATTTTTTCGCATCATAATTGAACCGAGATGGTCAACCGGTCATGCCAACTAATATTTATTTCAGTAAACCTCTAGTTTACTTGTGGCTTGTGATTGCATCATCATGCTTATACTTGTGTAGTACAAATAGAAGAAAAATCAGGTAACCTTTCATATTTACCCGATATGATTATAGTAATATAAAGATATTCAATCTTCTTTTTATTTATAGTCTCAATATGCCAACCACTTTGGCTAATATATTTGTAAATCGGAATGTTTATTTTGAGACTTACTACAATATTAATGTCATGAACAATTTTATTCATTCGGGTAGTAACAAATTAGTTCTCTCAGAGCTTTTAACTGCTTTTGTACTACAAGATTTTTTGTCACACCATCCATATAATGAATGTCTCCTTCGCAAAGAGAATCACATCATAATAATTATCATGTTCAAAATCATCATAAGCAAAATAATTTCTTACTTTAATTTTGCTTTTAATAACTTTCATAAGGCTTGACAAAATATTTTTGGCGTATCACATGTATGCGACCAATGATATATTCATGTAACTACACAGTAATATTCATTATCTTTCTTTGTCTCAAACCTCCCTTAGAGGTGAGTTGTAATATTTATCCAACCATGCACAAGTATATTATTATGCATAATCTTTATCAAATATATATTTTCACATTCACTTTCAGGAATGAGTATGCAATCTCAATGTTTATCACAAGTCACATTCTTTTCAAAGAATTTCTCTCTTTTTATAATTACTATAGTGATAACTATTATTATTTTGGCCTTTCGCTCGCTCACATTCATTGGTCAACCATTTGTCTTTATTTAGACTTATCATATACTGCTATCACATTCACTTCAAGAATGGAGCAAATCAAGTGGGACAAGCTTCATGCTTTTTCATGAAAAATATATTATTTTTCTTTAGTTATTATTATTATTATTATTATCAATATGGTGCATTAGGACTCAAACCCAATACCTTATTCATATAAAGGCATGCTAGGCCATAATGCGTTGGAACTTAAATCCAACGTCTTTTCATCAACATAGTGCGTGACTTGAACACATCGTCTTACCCTCAATCTTTGGCATAATAGGCCAAAATTCACTAGGACTTGCACTCGAACTTTTAAAATATTATTACTTCATAATTATAGGCATAAGTAAATTAACTTTCAAGAAGACTTATATAACTATTTCAATCTTGAAACAGTTCCTATGCAACAAAAATGTTAGTCAGGATATATGCCATTTTTTTTTTAAATGATACAATCACTTTTACATTTTAATAAATTAATTAGGAAAAGGGACCAAATAACCTATAACCACTTATATTTCAAAGATTATAAAAATTTCACCCAAAAAAAATCAATACGGAGGAATGAGCCTTATGTTTCCAGCAAAAATATTTAAGGCTTAATGCATAACCGTGACTATTATAAATTATAACTATAATGAGTTTATATTGATTGTATATTTGATAATTTTGCTTTCAATGAAATACATCATGTGATG